GAGAGAAGTTTTGTTAAGAGTCTATAAAATAAAAAAGTAGGTGGTAAGAGCTCACTCCCCCCCCCCCGAACGTATGCGGTATTGGGGCGCAACTGGAAGGTGAATCAAGTCTTCATGCAAACGAACAATCTACACGCCCCTCCCCAGCATGCCAGCCCAAGACACAAAGCATATTGGCGGAAGATGGTGCTGGACCCGCACAGTTCACCACACGTGATGCCCAGCCGATTGCGGCTGTCAGCCAACCACCCAACGTCAGTACTGCTGCTGTTGTAGTGGTATCGCCGGTCGTGTTCCTGCTTGGACCAATCCGAAAGCGTCTCGCCGGCAACATTTTTGGCAATTACATCAACTAATCTCCAATCCACACGCAAACAATCGACTACTGAGCAAAACCATCAAGTCCAAAAACAGGCGGGTACCTACGCCCAAACTTTACCCACGTCGATACGCAGATCTGATCAGCAGGCGGGACCAATCAAAACTTGACCCAACCAGCTGCGATGATTACGGTGTATATCGAACCAGAAAAATCAGTGTCCCCCACGTCGTGTATGCACCCAAGAAACCGATCGATTGTCGAAGTTGGAATCGAAGGCGACATTATTTTTTCCAAACTGAGAAACGGTAAAATACTACACATACAGGCATCAATATGCTTGCGCGGTCTCAGTCGACCCTCGCACATCACAAATTCAAAATCGCGCAGCAAACAAAACCGGACAAAGTGGTGTTGTTGAATACAGAGGCGCAAAGAAGCTTTGTCCATCGACAATTGGTCATCGTGGCGACCTTTCGCCCCTTCTCTTCCAGCAGTGGCCGGCGTCAGTCAACCCTACCCGCTACAGACCGACCACACCGCCACCTCTGGCCGACCGCTCGGAAAACAAAAAAAATAAAAATAGACATCTGAGCGGGTCCACATTAAAATGAAAAACAAATACTCATATACTTTACACACCTGGAACAACAACGAAAATAGAAAAAAAAGAAAAAAAATGGAATCGACAATGAAATCAGACAAATCGAAAATTAGGCCGCAGTATCCTCTTCCTCATCGGCCGGGGGTGACCCTCCCGACAGGAGCGCTACGGCCGCGGTGGTCCTCTGGGCCGATGTCAGCAAGGCCGTCACCACTGCCTCCACCGCCTTTTCGGGGGCACGGAGCTTCGTCCTGAACAAAGACGACCGCACCACCACAGAATTGACCCATCCGACCGACCGATGATGACCAGCCCAGACCGATATTTAATGTCGGAGTATTC